TTTTTGTTGTAAGTTTTAAAAAAAACCAAAATTGAATTGTGGTAAAACTTTAATATGTTAAATTTCAAAAATTTAAATGTTTTTTTTAAAAAAAAAAAAAAAAAAACCCCTTTGAAAAGAAACAACCAACAAACTTCCCCCCCCCCCCCCCCCCCCCCCATCTAAAAAAAAGGAAAGAAAAGGAGAAATGAAAGAATTTCTGCAGGTTAATTAAGGTTTAATACCCTCTTGATTCCTTCCAGGCTTAATAGTTTCTTTACCATCTTACTCACAAAAAGTTACAACCTAGTTTGGGAGCATGGCAATCACCAGGCTCATTCTTAACAACAAAGACAAGCATAATTCATGAAAACAGGGGCCCTTAAACTAATTTAATGAAACTCATGAGTTATTAATAGTGAAATAATACTACTCATACAGAATGATTTCTCCTTGCCTAGAAATCCTCAAGATTTAAGTTCCTAAATCCCATAAGTACCTATTTCATTATTATATATAAAGTAGGATCTCTTTTTAACCCTATTCAGGATCTTAAAGAATACTCTGAATTCAAGATCCCATCTATTACAAACCCAGAAAAGGTCATCTAGCTAAGGAAAGATAGATTACAAGTAGTCCCCAACTTTCCTCAGGGATAGTAGAGCAAGTGAAACAAGAGCGGGCATAAAAATGACTCACACGAAAAAGGAGGGACATAGGGAGAGAGAAAATGCACTCTACTACTCCTGAGAAAAAACGGGGACTACTTGTAGTCTAACCAAAGGAATATATGATTCAGTACTTTGTACCTGTTATCATACTTCCTCTGTCTGGCACTCGCTGGATGTGAGTAAACATATAGGTTGCTACATTTGCATTCTCCCCTCCTTTCTTAGAGCGGACCCGAGATGGAAGGCCGTACTCTGATACAATTTCACGAAAGCATGAAAGAACAGTGCTCAATGCTTTGTTGTTATTTGAGGCCTTCAAATAGACTGGGATTCGAGAAAAGCCATCAATTCCTCCGTGGATAACAATTCTCCATCTGTTGAAAAAAACCCTTAATTTACATACAAGAATGACTTTTAACAAGAAATAAAAGCCCCTGTAAAGGCAACCTTAAGCATGTCTGGATTTACCAGCAAGGGGTTAAAAAAGGATGAGGAAAGGGAAACAGTTATCCATCATGATCAATGTATAATGTCTTAAATTCTAGTTAAAACACGGTCTAAAAAGTCTTGCATTAGCTGGTGTTGTGGCCACAGTTTACATTATGCAGTGTTTGCTTTTAGGAGAAAAGGTGTGTGTGTTTACAACAGGTGTCCAGTAGCAGAAGTTTGATTGTGTTTAACTTCAACAATACATGACTGTTACTTATAGTCCCAGGCACAAGATCACTGAGGAGAAACTATGACAATGAACACTGTACAACAGGTATCTTTATCAGTACCTTATCAACTTACAGGGGCGGATCCAGGATTTTTTTTAGGAGGGGGTGCACTCGTCTCTTGCTCTACTTCAACACCAATAAACCACATAGTTCTTCTTTTTTTTTTTTGCAGAATACCTGTTGTATTAGAAAACCGCAGGTTATCTCAGGGAGGGGTGCGCACCCCCTGCACCCTCCCCCTAGATCCGCCCCTGACTTATGATTCCCATCTATGTGCCATAATGAGAATGCATACCGTAAAATTCCGAAAATAAGCCCCTCCAAATATAAGCCCCCCAGAATCGTAACGCAAAAAACCCTCCGTTAAATCGCCCCTCCGAATATAAGCCCCCTGAAGGGCTTGTACTTGGAATTTGCCCTCGAATACAAAGTAAAACAATGCAAAAATGGTAAATTTCCTTCCCACTACAAGCTAGCCCAATTCAAATCTCCCTCCGTACATAAGCCCCTCCGAATATAAGCCCCGCAAAAAGGGCCTTTGAAAAATGTAAGCCCCGGGGCTTATTTTCGGAACTTTACGGTATGTTGTTGTTCAATTTTATCCTGGGTTCAAATTTTATTTTCCTTTGTTTCACACTCCCATATCCAGGGGTATCCGTAGTACTGGTAGTAACATGATGCATTTTCGAAGTAATTTAAGACTAAATCGAGTCTTTTCACAGTGATGCCCCAAAACAACATTTCTAAACAATATTACAGAGTTATTCACCCCCAAATGCGAACTAAGAAAAATCTTTTGACGCAATAAGCAAGAATTCAAGCGTAACGAGAGGATAAAGATCACATTTTCCCGCAGTTCGAGGACATATGTTCCGACTTGCTCGTGACATGCGCGGCGTCGTATTGTATTCTCACTCACCTTCATTGACGAGAAGGCAGTCTACTTCACTTTCTTCACCATCCTATATGCCTTCTGGATCGCTAACACCTTCGTAGACCAGAGGCGAAGCTTCTTCTGAGCTTGTTTCCCTAAAACAAGCACACTTGCAGCCCGACGCCATTACTCTCACGATCAATTGTGCATAATAAAAATCGGGCTAAATAATTTATCCAACCAATTGCCACGAAACATGACCAGTGATACAAAATTCTTCTGTGCCAAGTTTGATGTCAACCGGATGTAACGCGCATGTGATATGGATTTTTTGGTTATTGGTCCATGGACCAATAAATTGCAGTGCGTGACAAGATTGACATAATTACTCTTTAACCCTACGGCGAGGCGTTATCTATGCAAATATTTTAGAAAAATGAGAAGATTTCTTAAAACGATAAAAAGGAGCGAGGAAAGGAAGGGCCACTGAGACACAAAAGTTTGTCAGAAGTAAGGACTGGGATTTAGTGCACCAAAACCTCTCGGCCAACTTGCCGCTTCGTCACGATGTTCGATGTGTGTCGACGACTTGTTCCAGTTCTGTGCCGGATAGTCTTTCATGATTGTACGAAAAGCTATGAGGTATAGANTTTATCCTGGGTTCAAATTTTATTTTCCTTTGTTTCACACTCCCATATCCAGGGGTATCCGTAGTACTGGTAGTAACATGATGCATTTTCGAAGTAATTTAAGACTAAATCGAGTCTTTTCACAGTGATGCCCCAAAACAACATTTCTAAACAATATTACAGAGTTATTCACCCCCAAATGCGAACTAAGAAAAATCTTTTGACGCAATAAGCAAGAATTCAAGCGTAACGAGAGGATAAAGATCACATTTTCCCGCAGTTCGAGGACATATGTTCCGACTTGCTCGTGACATGCGCGGCGTCGTATTGTATTCTCACTCACCTTCATTGACGAGAAGGCAGTCTACTTCACTTTCTTCACCATCCTATATGCCTTCTGGATCGCTAACACCTTCGTAGACCAGAGGCGAAGCTTCTTCTGAGCTTGTTTCCCTAAAACAAGCACACTTGCAGCCCGACGCCATTACTCTCACGATCAATTGTGCATAATAAAAATCGGGCTAAATAATTTATCCAACCAATTGCCACGAAACATGACCAGTGATACAAAATTCTTCTGTGCCAAGTTTGATGTCAACCGGATGTAACGCGCATGTGATATGGATTTTTTGGTTATTGGTCCATGGACCAATAAATTGCAGTGCGTGACAAGATTGACATAATTACTCTTTAACCCTACGGCGAGGCGTTATCTATGCAAATATTTTAGAAAAATGAGAAGATTTCTTAAAACGATAAAAAGGAGCGAGGAAAGGAAGGGCCACTGAGACACAAAAGTTTGTCAGAAGTAAGGACTGGGATTTAGTGCACCAAAACCTCTCGGCCAACTTGCCGCTTCGTCACGATGTTCGATGTGTGTCGACGACTTGTTCCAGTTCTGTGCCGGATAGTCTTTCATGATTGTACGAAAAGCTATGAGGTATAGAGTAGACCAGTAGCCTTACTTGACTCATCTTGTATGCAAAAGGGGCGAATATGGAAAAATGATAAATAGAAATAAATAAAATACAAAATACAAAATAGATAATAAATAATAATCAATTAATTAATCAATTCATTGAATTTAAGAAAAAAACGGGTCTCATGAGGCCAGGGGAATCCTCCGACATCGCTGTTTGGTTAAATCGGTAGTCAAAACCCGCCACAGTGGCGTGGGTGTTACTGAGTGGAGTGGCCTGTACGTAAGTCATGAACGCGTGACGAAACCGCGGCCCACGCAATAAGTGTGGACTACATTACGAAGTTAAGCGTGGGTGCAACTTCATGTTTTTCATGCACTAATTCTATTGCCCCTGCTCTCGCTATTTTGCACTATTTGTTAGTATCTAAATTCGCCGGAAAACAGATAAAATATATCATTCACATTGTCAATGAAAAAGCTAACTCAAAGAACAGAATTTATCGGTAACATTATTCATTGACTGAAACTATGGGAGAAAATTGTAAAAAGCATGGGCAAAGTACCGATCCCTGAACTTGAAAAAAAAATTCCCTAGAACTGATATATCATACCTCATATTTTCCCTCATATAAAGTCTTGTGGTACAGCTTAAGCAGAGTCTGCGATTTTCCTCTGTCGGCGTCAGTACAAAGCGACAAATAAAACATTCATTGCTTGCTTCCATAATATAAAGAAAATGCTACAAGTGAGCTCAGCGCGTGTGTCGAGTCTGTAGTATGTCGGTAGGATTGGCGAGGTCTGGATGAGGAGTTGTATGTTTTGAAATACGACTTGCATTGTTCTCGATTTGATGTCACTTAACAGTTTTCCTATTTACGTCACAATGAATCGGGGAATACCCTACATGTGAACAAACGCTATACGTAATAAACCCTAGCCTGTACACGGAAGCGGTTTTGTTTTCTATTTTCGAAAACATCGGCGCGCTTGAAATTTATACATGGTTTAAAAAAGGGCAAAAACTTAAATCAATAGGTCTTCAGTAACACGCTTTTGGTCAGTTTAATCTTGCGAAAGGTGAAACACTAATAATCATCGGGGTATTGCGTTTGGGTACTCATTGCAGTTCTTATTGCTGTATATCTTTCCTCTTTTTGTGGTTACAAAACTTATGCAGCCAGAAAAAGTCAGACCTTTTCAGAGAAAATAGAACGAAACTGGTGTCCTCTCTTGGTCTCCCCCAATTTGTGTTGCTTGTGGCGAGTGAACCTAATGCGGCTACGCCCGGATGAAATTCACTTTCTGACCAAAGGCGCATTTTGATGTGTTTATTCATCGTCTGTGAAACAAAGTTTACCATCGGTGAATCACGAACAATTTTATTTCCGAGGTCGGAAATACCCCAGAATAATTTTGAACGGTGTTTTAAACCATAGTTTTGACAGGTTTTGCACATTGTTATAAATTTCTTAGGATTTTACAACACGAAATTTGGATTTTTTGTGACTTCAGTGAAGTCAGTAACTGTGTATGCTTTGAATCCACGAATATAATTATTCCTAGCGCAAAAGTTTCGTGTTTAAAATGTTATTTTAAGACATTTAACCTTTGACTGTAATATTTTGTTCTAACACTGGACGTCAGTCTGGAAGTCGACCAAGGGCGATTGGTTGAGAGTTATTTAGGTCTTTCCAGATGATTAGTCAAGGGCTTATGACTTCCTAACCGCGGATATAAAAATTCAATTCGACAAACCAAGTAAATACTAAGATGTACACTGCCTGTGCAAGAAAAGCAAATTCTAGTGGAAAACACCACAGCAAGTACTTAACAAAATTATTTGAAAGGTAAGGCGAACTGAACAAAGTTGAGAGAAAAAGTTATATAATTATTATATATATTGTCAATATTCTTAAATACCGCTTAATTGCTTCCACTTATATATTGGGGTTTTCTAGCTCAAATTTTTGGAATGCAAAGTCCAATTAATTCTGAAAGTGGATTTCATCCGAGCGTAGCCGCATTAGGTTCCGGACCTCGGAAATAAAATTGTTCGTGATTCACCGATGGTAAACTTTGTTTCACAGACGATGAATAAACACATCAAAATGCGCCTTTGGTCATTGATGCTGAAGTCTTTGTTGCCTGGAAACGTAAAATGCTCCATGGCGTCACTGACGGATACCAAGCAGTATATTCAGAGAAAGATTTATTTATAAAGCCTCGAATTTCGCAGCTGGCTAAGACCACGCGCGGTTAGCAGACTGCGCTTGCGCTTCGCGCGCGACAAGATTATAAAGTCGCTACGCTCGGAATTACATCTCATTAAAAAAACGAATTCCCAGAGTTATTGAGGTAATGGATTAAATGGCTGGCTCAATAAATATGACCCTTTTAAAAACAGATCTATTGACCCAGCTTATATTAATCGGATAAAAATGTGATTCCTCCAGGAAACTCAAGATCTGTTTGTTTAACAAGTGGGTTAGTTTGCGTAATTTCAGTTTCTAGTCTGCGACTCTTAAGACGTATGTTTACAGCAAGCAAAATGATTTTAGGATCGGCCACATCGAAAATGGAAAGCTCAACTGTTATCCTTTACTTAATTTACTGAAAAGTGGGTGTTGGCTGGCACGTAGGACACGTGCATGCATGCTCAACTGGGTTTTGAGGCTGCATACTCTGCTTTTGAGGCTGACCACTGGTCTCCTGAATGGGGTATCCAACGTCACTGTCGGGTGGGGAAGCTTTCCTTGCGCTGGGATACCTCTCGCTTGCCCATGGTGTACTTGTGGCTGTGGTTTGATACACAGCATAAGTGCATGCCACTTGTTCATTTGGGTTGAGGAGTTGCTGGGGCTCTTCACGTGACTGGTTGGTCTCCTCATTAGGATAACCCATTTCTTGAATCGGCACAGACAGCTTAGGCCTATCAAGTGCTTCATTTAATATAGTCTCTCGTGCAGAGGACACCTGATCCCCAAATAGCAGACCTTGCAAAATGGTATCCACTGAACGATCTCTTGCAGGGATGTGACTATCTACGTCTTCAGATGGTTGACGTCCCACAGCCTGTATGGCAATAAGAATGATTAAGAATAAACTAAAGATTCTACGTGTAATTCTGAACAGCTTTAGCGAAACGAGGAGTTCGACTTCAGTTCGTTCTTATGAATTTTCTATCTCTAATTTAATGATTAATTTGGGTACTGGTCCAGGGATTCACCGTCGAATCCAGATTTTAATATTTTAATCCATTCGACATTTATATATTAAGTTTTTTAATTTAGTTCTTAGAAACTTTATACTTATTATTACAATTATGTATTCATTACCGATGCATCTTTTATTTTCTTTTTTAGGGCCTCACCTAAGGGGCGCATCAAGGCTTTCTCTTTAGGTGGTGGGTGGGGACGCACCCGTCGCTCGCTTTACTTCAGCACCTATGCACCACCCAGTCTTTGTTTTTGAAGGGGTAACAGTGCTGTTTGAATTCCCCGAAGCGCCGTTGTTGAGTGAGACGTCCGACCCATCCCCCTGCACATTTTTTTTTGTGGGTTTGTTGGTTGGTTGGTTTTTGTTATTTTTGTTTTGGTGGGGGGTGTTGGTCTCTTTTTTTTTTGCTTTTCTTCAACCCCTAATACCCCCTTTTTTTTTTTTTTTGGGAGAATCCCAGTTGTATTAGAAACCCCCAGGGCATCTTGGGGGGGGGGGGGTTGTGCACTCCCTGCACCCTCCCCCTAGATCCGCCCCTGCACTGAATATCTCCCTTTGTGAAGTGAGCTCCCTGTATAAAGATCATTGTCCTTATCCTTATCATCATCGTCACCATCATCTTTATCATTATCATTATCATTATTATTATGTCATCATTATATTTTGATCATAAAAAATAATCTTTATCGATTACTAGATAAAAACACATACTAATGTTATGAAGTCGATAAGAGAAAAGCTATATAAAATGGAGAAAAAACTAGTAAATGGAAGAGAATAAGCCAAAAAATATAATTAATGTACAAAAGGAGATTAAGTTAAAAAACTGAGTCCTTTTAAATAAATGTACTCTTGAAAAGCTCCAGTGTTCTTGGACTTATTCTAAATTAACGCAGGAGAAGAATTTACATAGGAGAAAAAATACTAGAAAAAAAATACTAATCCTAAATGTGATTGTTAATTGTTATTAGCATCTGTACCAAGGAGCAGCCTAGCGAGATCAAACCCGTGAAGCTAAATATAACTCCCAATAAGAAGCAGGAGACGGCGCCTTTCCAATCCATTTTTTACATTATTAATAAGGTTAAGCAATTCTCGTTAAGCATGTCAAAGAGAGATGACTAGATTTTTTTTCTGTCTTTTCATAAACTCAGTGCAGCTTAAACTCGGCACCTGGAGTAAAAAGAGCGGCGCATAGTTAAAAAAGAAAAACTAAAGCCCTTCAAGGGGCTTGATGAACACTTTGTTAATCGACGAAGTATTCATTTTGACTGAACTGAAATATAAACATAATAAAATGGGACTTAAAATCTGAAGGACAGGCTAATCTTCTCCAGGCAAAACCAA